AGAGCCAGAATATCACAATGCACCAACCTCTATGATACCATTACTGAATAACAGAAAATATTTGCTAACTTTTTTTACTGTTTTTTTGAGATTTACCAAAACAGGCAGTTTCTTAACTTTTTCAATAATTTGTTTATTGGGATTCTTCAAACTTACTTAGCATTAGGATACCAAGTAAGGTCGTAAACAAAAGCAGAGGTTCAATCTAAACATCAAACGTATTATCACACATATGTGCATAAGGAGGAAGGAGAGCACTGTTAGCTGGTTTGGATAGCAAGTTTGAGAAGTAGAAACATACTGATCCAAGTAATTTCAGTGACAGTGATCACATTTTATTCAGCATAGGTAAACTGTAAATTATGTGGAGAGAAGGAAAAGAGGGAATAGGGCAAGCTTGGGGTATTAAGGAGATGGGAGTGAGAAGAGAGAAAGAGGAGAAGAAAAAAAGGTGATAAATAAAATATTGCTGGATCTAAGTGCTGAATTGGCTTGTTAACCTCCTTTCATCATATAGATAAAAGACAGAGGTCAGGTCAGACAGAGATCAGATGGCACAAGTGGGCAATCCAGGGATTTCAGATTTTATGAAAACATGGGGATTTTGTCTTGCTTTAGTGTAAATAACACTCTGACTGGAATTTCCCCTATAAAAAGTTAAACTTTCACCCTTGAAAGTGCAAAATATATAAAACCTTTTCTACAAAACCTGTATACAATATAAATCTTCCTGTAAATAACCAAAGTAAGTCCAAAATGTCCACAACAAATATAGTCCAAAGTTTCCACAACTACTGTTTTTCAGTCTTCCAAATCGTGAGAAAATCCCAGATACCTCAAAAAAATTAGAAAACTGCATATAGTGCATTACCCTTATTCAAAAACAAACATTGAATACATGCACACCACTCGTGAGAGAAAGAAAAAAAACAAAAAAACTTTTAAATTTATATGTATATGCACTTACATAAAGTGAATCAAAACACACAGCACTCTGTGACACTAAATAAACATACTAAATACTCCAATTTGTAAATAAACAGTCTGTGACTCTTCATAAATCCACAGCAATTACACAATCCGTGATAATGTGCTCAATTAAGTGGTTCCACACTTTAGTGTTTTAGTGTAGTTAATTTTTCATACAACATGCAATGGTGCATGCAGGATTTCAGTTTATCAAAGGCAATGGTGGAGTTTTAACATGGTCTAACAATTGTTTAGCTTTTAAAAACATGCCTCAAATAAGATTCTGTTTTGATGCAAAAAAGGTTTTTGTTTCATTCAAAACCAGCCACCCAAGGGTCCATTGAGAAGTTTTGGCTCCCTGGGCATCATATGTGGATAAAGGAACCAGAGTCTAAATAGCCCCAAAAATAGATGGATGGACTGTATTTAGTTTCAGTCGCAGGAGACTAAAGAGAACTCTTTGAGGTAGCTAGCGAAAGGATCGAAGGCATTCCGTTTTTTTCTGCTGGTTGAATGAAAAGAACTGCCTCAATTCCCCCATCCACAGAGTCTATGTGGATGGGGAAATCCTCCCCACTGAGGTAATGTACTCTGTAGAGAGTAGGGAGACTTCCCCATCATCAGAATACACTGATCTGCATTGCAGGTTATAGCCTGCAGTACTGATTGAATGAAGAAAATCTGACAGGGTGACTGTACAGAAATCTTCAATTGATTTCTGTAAATCTCCCTGCCCATACATGGATTGAAATTCAGCCGGTTCAGCAGAATTTTGATCTATGTATGGTCAGCTTAAAGTGGAACTTCACCCTCTTACTTAACATTGACTATTTTGAATCCTTATAATGCTAGCATTAGAAAATAGATAGGAAGGTATAATATATTTACTTGTTTTGAATTTTTATTTTTACATATCTTCAGTTACTTCCTGGTTTCTTGCCTAGGCAAATGATGTCATACATCCCATGAGTCTTCAGGAGCAGAGGAGGGGTTTTCACAGCTAAGCACACCCTCCTGCCAGTGTGCTTGAGCTAAGAGCAGATGGATTCCAGGAAGTGCTACATGAACAATCTGCCTTTACTCAAGATGGTCACGGCCACAAATGCTGGGAGTGTTTTTCAAAGTGATTTCTCAGCAAAATAAAGCACGGAGTTATAGATAGATGGGGGAGGTGGCTTTGAATATTACAAATGAATTAAATTGTGCTTTTGTGGTGAACAGTGAATTTCCACTTTAAGTTGTTTCTCTCATTGAGTAGAGTAGGTCAGCTGGAAAGAGGGCGTGATGGTATACAGAGGATGATACCCTAGGTGATTGAAGGCCATTCTTGCAAAGAAGTCAGGAGTAATGGTAAGGCAATGTGGCAAAGAGAGGTGCTGAAATTTTTCAGCTTTAGGTAGTGGAAAAACTTCTGTAAGAGGGGAGCCAAGGGAAATTTCCTAAAGAATCAAAATGTTTTGACTTCTAGGAGAGAAAGTAAATAATAGATCAGTGAGATATTAGTTGACCACTAATGTCAGAAGTCAGTGTAGGCAACATGCAAACTGGAGCACTGAGTATAGGAGCCACCCTTTAGGATCTTACTGATGGCTGCAGCGAACTGAGGGTACAGAATTGCAAAGTTCTTCTCTTTTTATAAAGCAGGAAAAAGCTGTCTAGGCCATATTGTTTGAGTAGATCGGACTTCTATAAAATGGAGCATTTTCTTTAAAAGACTTTTAGGACAGAAAATGGTATCCAGGGCAAAGATATGCATGCAAAAAAAGAGAGCTCACTTTCTGTTGTTTAAAGGGTTGTTGTCAGAAGTATAGGGCCGATCTGCGGCACTGAAAGATTCCGATAATTTCAAGACGATCACTAATTATTGATTTATCAGAGGTTTTTAATTTAATAGATTTGCAAATAAGGTTGGGGTGCTGGTGAGAATTGGGCTACTGGACAAAGAATCAAATTTTTGGCACTGAAGCTGGAAATTCGCATTGCTGAGTGGAATGTGCAAACTGGACACCAAATTGGACAAAAAAAACATGCCGTGGAATTGTCAAAATGTAGTTTGGATACTGCAGCGATCAATATTTCACATTTCACTGGGATACTGACATCCAGCCACCAAAGATGAAACAATAACGCTATTCTTCTCTGGCCAGTGAGAAAAAGAGAAGTGGACATTGGTTTTAGGGTGCAGATGGCATTTTTATGAGCTTCCCTTGTGAACATCTGCAATGGTGAAAATGATTTTTAAAAGCTATGAGCAAAAAGTGAGATTGAAATGAAAAGTCCAATAAGATCATTGAAGAACAGAAAGGCACCCAGAGTGGACCAAGTCACTGCCGAAAAGTAGCAGTAGACATCCTGCCATAACAGCTTCACGCTCTGACAACCAAGCCATTTGCTTCATCACCCTCTTCTTTTTAGGCCCTTTCACAAGGTGGCGGATCTGCTTGCTCAGCAGGGGATCCGTCTGCTGATCCAGTGGATGACAAGTCCACGTCCACTACGCTTTTGCAGAGCGGACACAGCCCACTGTCCTCTATGGACGGTCGGATGGAAACAGACCGTGCCTCTTAGTTTCCAACTGACTGCCATGCAATCCGACGAAAGGAAGGGGAACAAATCCCCACCCATCTCTTTTTGGCGGATCAGTTGTCAGCACTTGTGAACGGACACATGTCCATTTATACCACCCCTCCGTAGAGAAGAGAGGTTCTGATCGGGTCCGCCTGAAAAATGAGCAGGCGGACCCCATCAGTGTGAAAAGGGCCTAATTGTTGGCAAACTATGTATGAAGATCATACAATCAGGGCTGCAGAGAAAATGTGAACAGACCAGCCAAGAAGGACAAGCAGGATTTAGGCCACATCAGGACTGCAGAGATCAAATATTCACCACTCGTCAACTGGTGGAGGAAAGGATCAGGTTTGGAAAGCGAGCCATCATCATCTTCATTGACTTCAAATCCACATTTGACTGTGTTCACTGGCCAGTCTTTTAGAGAGCATTGGAGAATTAGCAAGTAATCATCAAACTTCTCCAAGATCATGTAACGGGCCAACCAGCAGCGTGCAGATCCAAAATAAACTATCAAAGTAATTTCCTATTCAAATTAAAAGTCAGAGAGATTAAACTTCATCCCTGCTTTTCAATATCAATGCCATAATGAGAAAAGCATTCAAGGACAGATGTGGGGTCCAGTACAAAGTGAGTAATTCGCTAAGGGTGGAAGTGTTATTGTGATCATTTGGAATCCAGTGGCGCCTACAACAGTGTACTGGAAGGAAAGAGAGAGAAGAAAAAAAATAAAGAATGAAAGAAGAAGGAGAAAGAGGAAGAAGTGGAAGAGAAGGAAGAAAATAGAAGAAAACCGATGGAGAGAAAAAAATGGGAAAAAAAGCAGGAAGTAGAGTAACAGGTGGGGACAGAGGTAACTAGGGTATTAAAGGAAAGGTAAGGTAGTGATGATTGGAATGGGGGGGTGGGGGGGATATAAGGACTGGGGTTTGTTAAAGAAGGTGGGAGAGCCTGAGGTTCTGTTAGTTGGGTTTTGTATCCCTGGGGAGGTAACTCAGTGATAGAAAACTGGGAATGACAATGTACCAGGAGCACGGACCAAGCAGGAGGGACTGGGTAGACACATAAGACATACAGAAGTGCTACAACTGTATTAAGAAGCTTTAGCAAGCTAAGAAGAGTCTATAGGCAGCATGTCTAAAATACAAATTATGTTAAGATAGTCAGTAACAAGGGAAAGCCATCAGGAAAGGTTGGGCTGCATCCCAGCACATCATTTGAAAGGTAAGCATCAACAAGCAGGAAATCAGTGAGGGCGGGGAAAAAAGCCCCCTTCTCCATTCTCAGTAGAAAAAAAATCCACTCACCCCAATAAACTTTGGTGTGCAACAAAGGCTATCAAATACATCTGAAAGGCATAAAATTGATACATTAGAGACTGTGCAACAAGATACACTTTTACCAGCTGAAGAAAAAAAAGAGAACTACTCACCATTTTTCGCATCTCTCTGGGGTGTTCTGTGTGTGTACTTTTTATCCCACAGAGGAGTCTTAAACATCTCCCTCATAGCACTAGGACTGAAAACATCAGGATAAAATTTCAATAAAAAGTGCTGCGCTACAAAGGACTGATTATAAATAGTAGTTTGCTGAAGGCCTATAAGCTTTTACATTGATGGTATCATAACCCTGCTAGACTAAATAAACACTTTCCTTCCCACTCACGTATTTCAGGAACTAAGCAGAGGTTGGCACTTGACATATATTATATGGTGATACTACACAGTGGCAGCACAGATTGGAAAATGACTTCCTATTGACATTTGTGAGTTGGATTTCATTAACTCCTTGGTCTGAGGTACTTAATATTTATCCACACTGACTACCCTCACTCCCAATAAAAATGGCGGTGGCATGGGGGGGGGGGGGGGGGGCACGAGGCTGTCCAAGACGGCTGTTCAACCCCAGGGGTGCCTGGAGTTCTACATGCCACCCTCCTTTGTTCCCTGATGCAGGGTCACCTTCCCCGTGTTATGTGGGTTCACCTTGATGGCGTTTTTTTGGCAGCATTTAATGGATATTTCCGCTCATGGCGGTATGCCCATTATGGAAAATTGTTCTTCTCTTCTAGGGTTTCCCTCTCTCTTTATGGTAACCCTTTTACTCTTCTTTTATTTATTTTTTTTTCTTTATGATCACCTTGAGGGGCGTGAGAGCTTCGTCCTAGGGCCCTGCCAAATATAACGGATGCTCAGAAAGATATGTTAGGTGCAGATTTCACACAAGATGAACTTAGACAATTCAATCTCTAAAAAGGTACACAAGCGCGCAGGCCCGGATGGCTTCCCAGCTCTCTTTATAAGAAATTTAGTGATATTGTAGTTCCTTTCTTAACCCAGGTATTCACCCAACTCAAAAGGGATGACCAATTGACCTCGGAAATGTTGAAGGCCCATATAGTGATGATCCCTAAACCAGGGAAAGACCATCAATCCTGGCCAAACTACCGTCCTGTCTCTTGCTGAATATGGACATAAACATTTTAACGAAGACCCTAGCTACCAGATTGAACACGTTAATCCCTACCTTAATCAATAAAGCTCAAGTAGGTTTTGTACCTAGACGTCAAGCAGCTGATAACGTACGACGCTCTGTACACTAAAGTTCGTTATCACGGGTTTGAATCCCCCCAATTTCAAATACGAGGTGGAACGCGCCAGAGCTGTCCTCTGTCTCCTCTTCTCTTCATTTTGGCCTTAGAACCCCTAGCCGTTCATATACAGCTTCATTCAGACATTTCTGGCCTTGAGTTGGCGGGACTGCATCATAAACTTGCACTTTTTGCGGACGACATTCTGGTATAGCTTTCTTCTCCGTATGTCTCTCTCCCTAACCTCCTGACGCTACTCACCCGCTTCGCGCATCTCTCGGGCTTGCATGTAAATCCAGCTAAATCGGTGGCTATGAATATTTCTCTTCCTCGATCGACCCTGACACATCTTTAATCACAATTCCTGTTCCAGTGGACTTCCACACTCCCATATCTGGGCATTATACTTACCCCTTCTTATGATTCATTGTATCAAGCAAATATTCCTCCTATAGGCTACGTTCACACTAGCGTTGTGTGCAAGCGGCAGAGAGGCGTTTGGGAAGAGTTTTTACCGCTTTCCAAACGCCTCAGACACTTCTGCACATTGCAGCACATAGTGCTGTTCTAACGGGAGAGTTAGCGTCGTGGCAAAACGGACGTCTCTGGTCGAGTGAGGAGGCGTTGAAGCCTCCTATTCTAGTCTATGGTGCCGCTCCGCAAACGCCCGGTAGGCGTTTGCGGTGCGGTTGCGACGCGGTTGCGGGGCGTTTGCAGTAACACCATTTAAACTTCATTATAGGCGTTTGTGGGGCGTTTTTAACGCTCGGCAAACGCCTAGCAACTCCCGTTAAACCGCGCATGCTCCGCAAACGCCGGACCAACGCTTGCAAAACGCTATAGGGGTGTTTGGCAAGCGTTGGTAAAACAGTCAAGTGTGAACGAGCCCTTACTCTCTCATTTAACTAAACTAATTTCCTTTTGGCAATCCATGAACTTGTCTTGGTTCGATAGGGCCCATGCGATCAAAATTACATCTTCCTAAACTGTATCCTTTTTGAATGCTTCCTATTCGTGTTCCACCCAACATATTACGTATTTTACAGCGTTAAATTCTTCAGTTTGTCTGGGCCTCGGTCATCTAAGCAACAGCTTTATTGACCAAGACTTCGGGGCGGCCTTGGACTCCCAAATATTCACCACTACTACACTACAGCTCAAATCACTCCCCTTATCCAACTTTTTTATGACAGGGATTTACCCCTGTGGTCACTGATATCATAGATACGCATCCCGCTCTGCCTTCTGCTTTGTTATGGCTTCCTCTGTCTTCCAGTCCTAAACCATTGAACCAGATCCTGGCCCACTCCTTAAGAATTTGGGATTTGTGTAAATATTCTGTGGGCTTAGTTTCTTCTCACCTACCCCTTCTTCAATTATTTGATTGTCCATTATTTCCTCCAGTTGAATCTGACAAGGAGACCTTTCGCTGGTGGATAACTCATGGTTTTACGACTATTTACTCACTGTTAATGGTTCAAGGTATACGTACGTTTGCTCAACTCCTTGAGAGTCATGATATTCCACCCTCGGAGGTTTTTAGATACCTACAAATATGCCATTTTGTTGAACCTCTCGTTCGTAAGCAAGATTCTTCCAGAACTTTAATAGGTTTCAAATCACTTTGCAAGGCGTCGGCATCCACCAAGGGCGCTCTCTCACGCATCTATTTATCAATCCGGAATCATATAGCATAACCCTTACCTACCTATTGTATACAATGGGGTAGAGAGCTCCAGGAAGAGTTCTCTACTGAGGACTGGGTGCCTATTTGGCAGGCGGTCTCTCTGTGCTCCTGCTATATACAATCGCTGGAAAACTCGTATAAGGGGATTTTGAGATGGTATTTTAAGCCGGTTCAAATAGCTAAATATGTATCGGGTTATGACACTAGATGTTTCCGTGGGTGTTCTCTACACGGTACAATGCTTCATATATGGTGGACCTGTCCAATGGCTTACCGCTTATGGACCAGGGTCTAAAACCTTATCCATTCCATTATGCATGTCAATTTCAGGAAAGATCCCATTGAAGCATTGCATTTCAGACCTCTACGAAACCTACCTCGTAAAATCCATGTGCTTGTTAGTTTTTTTTTTATGACGGCTAAACAAATCATAGCCAGCTCTTGAAAGTCCCCCACGCTCCAATTTGAGGAAGTCAAGTCTAGGATCCAAGGCTTCTTTATGAACGAAAAACTGTCAGCGGTGCTGGAAGATAATCATTATAGGTTTCTTTCAGTCTGGTAGCCCTAGGTGGACTATTGTCTGATCTCACACTTCACCACAAAACTAACTAATCTATTATATGAAGAGAAATACTCCTCCTGTCCCCCTTCCCAGGGGGTGACGTCTTCTTGTGCTCCTCACAGGTAAACTTTTCTTTTTTTGTTCTATTTGCTCTTCTCTCCTTTATTTTTTGCTCTTTTTTTCTGCATTTTTCTTTTTTTTTTTTTTTTTTTCTTTCTTCAGTTTCTCCCGTAGATGAGAGTTCTTCTTTCCCCACCCTCTCTGTGCTCTCTGGACTTCATTTCACTTTTTTCCTACCTTCCCTTTTGAATGATTTATTTATCTAAGACCTAGAGGTCACCATTTGCTACTGATGTCCGTTATGCCTCCATATCCTTTTTATATTTTCCAAATGTCTATGGTAGTGGTCACCGCTGTCCTGTCCCTTCGCTGTTGTTTTCCTCTTTCCCCATTTTTTCGGAGGTGAACCAGATGTGATGTGGATAGGTGACGTGGATAGGTGACGTTTGGACACATAAGCCTTATGACTCTACAGAGATTGTTTATTGCAGGCTATTAGGTTTCATCATACTTCTGGTCTTTATGTTTGGCATCTTTTTATGTTCTTATTGTTATAGTTAGTGGTTTATCAGGCTTCTGCTTTTGTAAACCATTTAGGCCCCTGTGTGGGTCATATCTGTTTTCTTATGTGCATGGTATTTTTTTTTTTGTCCTCTAGTTGATTGTACTTTTCTGTATCGTGCAAGTCACTATACTTTGTATAATTCTTTGCTATACTTAATAAAAATCTTTTGGTACCAGAAAAATGGTGGTGGCATAACCTAAGCCAGACCTACCACTCATCATGGTATATGCCAAGTTCTCCAATATGTATATGAATGAGAGAATCCTTCATATACTGGAAGATATTCCAACCAGTGAGGCAGTCATGGGAGGCATAATCTCGATCCCACACTTCTCTAGTGCCTCAGGGAGTGGCCCAGCCTGGAGATGGTTAACTACTTGAGGACTTCAAATAATGAACATTTAAATAAGCAGTTTATAGGGGAATTATTGTAATAATATATGCTAGTATTAGCCTTAGGGATGTCCTTTCTTGAACTACATCGCATTGGAGAATTTTGTACTCTTTATTGTAAACAGTTTGTTTTTGAGTTTTGTGTTGCAGGCACAGCAACGTAACTGTATGTTGCATGGCTCATGCGAAAAGGTGTGCCCCTGTGCAATGGCGCAATCCTGTGACCACTGTATTCAGTGGATCACAGTGCTAAATACCTGGCCACTGTGAGTGGCTGGGGTATCATGTATCCAATCATAGTGGTCACAGAACATAAAAAAATGGTCATGAATGGCAGCCTTGAAATCTTGCTTACTACTGTGATCGACCACATAGCACAAGGCCATTCACAGCAGCCTTGTACCATGTGATAGCTGTAGCTAATCACAATAGTAGACAAGCTGTAATGAATGAAAGCCATTCATGACAGGTAAAGCGACTGCTTATAAAACAGTGACACTGAACTATTCTGAAGACAGTTATGTAAATAAATATGTATTTACTTATTAATGTATTTTTTACATATTGCCATCAGTCAGTATCTCTGATCACTGCCACACCACTCATATGATGATGCTGTACTGCATTGGTGACAGTATGTATAAAAAAAAATTACAACTTCAAAAAACTTGCAATGCCTCTTACTAAATACCTTGGCCTGTCTACTTTGAAAAAGGGATCATTTGGGGGGTATTTGTACTGTCCTTGCATTTTGGGTCCTCAAGAAATTAGATTGGCAGTCACTGGCAATCACAGCCAGTGAGCCAATGAAGAGAGAGAGGGAGTGGGGCTGAGCCACGGCTCTGTGTGTGAGAGCAGTGGCTTGGGAGTGAGCCTGCTTGAGTGCCCTCATACCGAGCTGCTTGCTCTGGGGGCACTTGGCAGGAAGGAATGGCCAGGAGAGCTGGCGGGAGACCAGGGAAGAGAGAATTTGACTGCAACTGTGCAAAACCACTCCACAGAGCAGGTAAGTATGACATGTTTGTTTAAAAAATAAAAATGGCCTTAAATATCACTTTAATAGCATAACAGAGCCTAGAATCCATACAAATTGTCAGCAGGTATTACCTGTTATTATGACACTGCTTCGAGGTACCAAAGACTTCATCACGAAGACACTGTGTTGCATCTCCAGGACATTTTTCTGGTTTACTGACGCTTCTGACATTCGCTATTAAAAAAAAACAAAAAAACAAAAACACAGGTGTATATGTATACACAATATAGAAGAATAAAAGGTGCTACTTAGGCCTAAGTAAACAAGCACACAATACATAAAGTTCTGCTACAGACTTTGTCAAGTTATGGAGAAAAAAAAAACATGGAAAAGAGACACTGATCATAATATATTTGGGTATAGTTCATTAAAGAGTGCCAAAACAAGAAAAGGAGTTTCAGAGATGTACAAGGGAGATATGCAAGATGATTATGGGATGACTGTTGTTATTAATTTCTGGACTATTCTGACATGCACAGTCACCTTGAAGGGCCCCCTTAGACTCATAGGCAATATTCTAAGGCCTCATGCACACTGGACGTTTTTCAGCTGCTCTTAGGGGCACCTGGTGTTTTTTGTTTTCTGACTCTAAATGTCCTTGCATGTTAGCCTATTTGTTCATGCACACATAGGCTTTTATAGAAGTTTAGAGGCAAAGGAATTTAGAGGCAGAAAAAAAACCCACAGCCATTTTTGTTCAGAACAGCAGCATTTTGGCCAAAAAAAGGCCTGACGCCTGTAAAGGCATGTTAATGCTCGGCGTGTTTAGTGCTTGAGTGTTAATTGATTTCAACAGACAGAATAAATTCTTATTCTGGCCAATTAAATCAGTTAATGTCCAGGCATTTGACATGCCTAAACGCGTTACACACTTTTACAGGGAATGCATTAGAGTAAAAAAATGTCTTTAGAACCACTTGAATGCGATCAATTAAAAAAAGGCAGGAGAGCATGTAGAGTCTTCTGTGCATTATCCTTGTCTAAGTCTGCGCCTACACTGACCAAGATGCATAGTCATAAGAAAAATAAGGGAACACAGACTGGTTCAATATCAGCAAGGGCGTTAGGTCACCATTCTTATTCAACCTACAGTATATGCTGAACATATAATGAGAGAAGCAGGTGACAGAGTTTTCTAGATTGGTGGTTGACACTATTGCTGTTGACACTATGCTTATAGCTAGAAATGTAGTGGGCCTCAAAGAGAAAGATAAAGAACAGATTGTGAGAAAAGATGAGAATTTAACTAAATATCAAGTAGACAGAAATAATAGACATCTTCTGCGTCCTTGGATTAATTATTAACAAGGGATCCACCAAAAATATGACATAGGCTGCTCATTGGAATAGCAATGTTTTCTGTCACTCTCTATGTAATATGCCCAAAGAAGAAACAGGACAGAAAAAGTATGATGCCTTTCAACTTAGTTGTTGGTGAACAATTCTATGAATAGCATAGGACAGCAAGGAAAACAGACAAACTGATCTTTCAATAAATCAAGCCCACCCATTCACTTTGAGCTTAGATGGCTAGACTGAAGCTGTTGTATTTTGTATGTCTTATGAGAAAACCAGCTCACTGGAAAAAAAAAGACAATTGTGCTTTGAAAAGTTAAAGGAAAAAGAGGAAGACAACCACTAATAAAGGTGGATGGATACAGTCACAGACATTATGAACATGCCATTGTCAAGATTTAGATCCCACTTCCTATAACACCACAAGGGTTAAATGCTTGTTAAACCCTAAGTTTATCAAAGCTAAAAACATAAAAATCAGCACAAGGGACATAATTTACAGTTCGTATGAGGCACCCCTTGCCCTGATTGTTCCAATTTTAGCAAAAAAAATTGCTGTGTCCTACCCCCCTGTTCCCTCTCACCGCAGTCACCTTGCTGTGCAGCAGGGGTTCATAAAGCTAAGGGGCTGTCAGGAGCCGTCATCAAGAGAGCTCGACTATGCCCACCCTTTTCTGCCTGATTTACCATTCACAGAAGCCGTACTACCGCTTCCACGAATGACGCAGAATCTGGAAATGGAGGGGGTGGAGCTTTCAATCATCTGCCTGTCAGTTCAGAAATCCTGTGTCACTCATAGAAGCTGTAGTACAGCTTTCGTGAATTGAAGATTGGGCAAGAAAGTATGGGCATAGTTGAGCTCTCTTGACAAGAGCTTCTGACAGCCAAATAGTTGTATTAGAGTGATATTAAAGCTTCACTTTTTTTGTAATTAAAATAATAAACATAATATAATTACATATAATAAGGAAAAATGAGCGCTAGATCTATGAGGGTGGAGCAGCTGGCATGAAAGGTAACAACCTCAGAACCTTCTATGTACAATGTATATAACGACATGCAGCGCTAAGATAGATATTGTTCATAAATCCATACCAAAATGTAATACTGGAACAGTATATATAGTCATTATATGAATAAAGATTAAATAGTAGTTCAATGCTCCATAAGTCTGGTATGTGGTATATGGGTGACAGTCTATATCAGACGAAGGCGGTAGTAGTGACACTGGTAGTAGATATGAGTACCGTATTTTTCGCTCCATAAGACGCAGCTGACCATAAGACGCACCTAGGTTTTAGAGGCAGAAAACAGGAAAAAAAAAATTCTGAACTAATGGACTGCAGACATAGTACAGGAGATGACCAGAGACTGCGGACAGCACAGGGATGACCAGAGACTGCGGACAGCACAGGGATGACCAGAGACTGCGGACAGCACAGGGATGACCAGAGACTGCGGACAGCACAGGGATGACCAGAGACTGCGGACAGCACAGGGATGACCAGAGACTGCGGACAGCACAGGGATGACCAGAGACTGCGGACAGCACAGGGATGACCAGAGACTGCGGAGCACAGGGATGACCAGAGACTGCGGACAGCGGACAGCACAGGGATGACCAGAGACTGCGGACAGCACAGGGATGACCAGAGACTGCGGACAGCACAGGGATGACCAGAGACTGCGGACAGTACAGGGATGACCAGATGACTGCTGACCTTTGAGGAGGGGGGGGGGGAGCGGGTACCTGAATTTGACAGGTACCCGCTCTTACTTCCGCGGAGTTGTTCTTTGATCTTACCTGTTCCTCTATCCAGCCGCGCGCTGTCTTCCCGGCTTCTGTAGTGTGGGCGCTCGGCATGACAGCCGGGTGCCCAGTGCGCATGAGCAAGAAGCGCTGTGCTTTGTGATTGGTCCGGCGGCTTCTGGGATCTGTCATGTGTCCCAGGTACCACCTTACCATTCACAAAAAGCACCGCTTCTTGCGCATGCGCACTTGGCACCCGGCTGTCAAGCCCAGCGCCCACACTACAGAAGCCGGGAAGACAGCACGCCGCTGGATAGAGGAACAGGTAAGATCCATGTTGTGTATTTACTTGAATGTACCTGTGGAAAACAGTACATCGGTAGAACTACGAGAGATTACGAGACAGGCTTAGAGAGCATTTGACTAACATTAAATAAAGGATGCAGAGAACATTCTGTCTCGATGCATTTCCGGGTTGCCCACAACAAAAATCCACATAATCTTAAATTCATCGGGATAGATAATATCAATAGTCATTGGAGGTGTATTGTTAAACGTAGAGCTGTGTCGAAACTTGAAACGAAGTGGAATTATATGCTACATACTTCAGCACCACTTGGCCTTAATATTGACTGGTCCCTAAATACTAGATACGTTTTAGGGGTATTGCCCTATCATAACATATCCTTCCTGGTATATTATAAATCCAACTAACATTGTTTGCATATATTAAGTCCAAGCAATGGATATTGGAGGGATAATACTATATTAATTAAAGATATATGTGTCATTTTTCAATACTCTACTAATGACAGGCCCTCATCATCGCTATATTCCGTCTTGCCCAGTCCTCATGTTAATAGAGAGTGGTGGAATTGGTTTAAAATGGAAGAACAGATATCCTTACCTATCGTAACATAAATATTCCTTCAATAAGAATATGATGTTTTTGTTTATATATATATATATATATATACCTATAAGATTTTAATTTCTATTACCTTTCTGATTTTATATGTATAGAGGCTGTTTTTATATATTTGTAATATCTATTATGTATGCGGGTTTTGCACATGCTATATAGATATTTGCTGGCACTTGTAGTCCTACTGGTGGTATTAAACAATCCCACTTGTATAAATCAAATAGGGCCACCTTTCAACAAGTGTGCCTCTCCTAAATAACAAATACTCATTCATGGATCACCTACAAAACGTTTAAGATCTTTTTGTTATCTTAATTTGGCTATTTTGCCTCTTTACTGAAGCATAATATCAGAACTTCCATGGGGAAGAGATAGAGTGATGATCTGTTCACTTCTCCTTATGACCTGCCATGTCTTCAATACAAGTCTATGGAAACATTGAACTTCAAAAAAATGGCCGCCGCGAGCGCGATCTGCGCATGCACGAACGGACGGCGCAGTCATTACCGCTAATTGATGTGCATGTGCTGCCCTGGATATATAAGAACTGTCACTGAGGGGGCCAGTTTCCTTTGAAAACGTGCCATAGCACGAAACATGTCAGGAAGCTGCCCTCAGTGACACTTACCACGTGGTTTCATTCTTGGCCAAGGGCCAGCCACACTTAAAGTGTAAGTTTTATCTTTTGATTTGTTATGCACCTTAATAAAGCAATGTTGCACTAGGACATTCTTTGTGCTTTGGCTCATTTCCTTTGAGCCTGCCTTTTTCTAACGAGTTCGGAAACCTGGCTGACATGTTGTGATTCCTGTCGCTGCCCGTTAGAAAACCTGAGTCCAGATGTCCTAATCCAGATGACCGGGTTGGTTTTCATCACCTACATGCGCTTATAATAGCGCTATCTGGTTAGTGCAATATATACTCATATCTACTACCAGTGTCACTACTACCGCCTTCGTCTGATATAGACTGTCTCCCACATTCCACACTTATGGAGCATTGAACTACTATTTAACCATTAGCCGCCCGGCCAATGGCCGTTTGGCGGCTTCAAATGTGTCTCTGCACTCCGGGTGCACGCCATTTGGCGTGCTCCCGCACATGCGCAGTTTGAGCTAATGCAGAGCGGCGCAGCAGTGCGATCTGTCACCGGCCGTGCACCTTGGACACGGCCGATGACAGATCCGAGTACCGGCTCCCGTTGCTGGTACCATGTGACCTGCTGTGACCAATCACAGCAGGTCACATGACAGTTGTATACAATGGATGGCTTCATTCATGATGCCATCCATTGTATACTAGTGCCCAGCTGTGAATGGTCACAGCTAATCACATGCACATGTCATGTGATTAGCTGTGACCAAATCACAGCTAAGCACAAAAAAAAAAAAAAAAAAAAAAAGAAGCTGAATGAATCGATTTCATTCAGGTAAATGCTTGCTTATAGCAAAGTAATTCTTTGCTATAAGCAAATTGTGTAAAAAAAAAAAAAATACTGATCACTTCCCCAAAGTAGTACAATGTTACTATGGTAACATTGTACTACTTTGGTCATAGTAAAATATGAAAAAAAAAAATCTTAAAAAAAAAAAAAAATGTAATAAAAAATTAAATATAATAAAAAAATTAAAAAAATATATATATTTTTTTTTTTCATACTGTCACCAGTCAGTGTCCCTGTTCACTGCCATGCCAGTTATATGATGACGCTGTACTGCACTGGTGACAGTATGTAAAAAAAAAAAAATAGTGAAGATAATTTTTTTAATTTTTTCATTTTCCGAAAAATTATGACAAAAAAATACAACTTCAAAAAACTCACCATGCCTCTTATGAAGTAAGTCAGACTGTCTACTCTGCAAAAAGGGGTCATTTGGGGATATCTGTACTATTCTGACATTCTTGGACCTCAAGAAATTAGATTGGCTGTCAGTACTTCAGGATTGATCAATTTTCAGATCTATACCATAGTTTGTGAACTCTATAACTTTCCTACAAACTAAAAAATACATCCTAATTTGGGTTATTTTCACCAAAGACATGTAGCAGAATACATCTCGGCCTAAATTTATGAAGAACAATTATTTATTTGTAAACTTTTATAACAGAAACAAAGAAAAATGTGGGGTTTTTTTCAAAATTTTTGGTCTTTTTTTGTTAATTTAGCAAAAAATAAAAACCCCAGCGGTGATTAAATACCACCAAAAGAAAGCTCTAGTTGTGTGAAGAAAATGATAAAATTTTAGTTTGGGTACAGTGTTGTATGACCGCGCAATTGTCATTCAAAGTGTGAGAGCGCTGAAACCTGAAAAATGGCCTGGGCAGGAAGGTGTAAAATTGCACGGTATTGAAACGGTTAATCTTTATTCATATAATGATTATATATACTGTTCCAGTATGACATTTTGGTATGGATTTATCTTAGCGCTGCATGTCGTTATATACATAATTACCTGCTCTGTGCAATGGTTTTGCATAGAGCAGCTTCAACCCTCCTCTTCTCCTGGCTCCTCCCTATGCTCAGTGCCCCCATAGAAAGACGTTTTTCATTGACAGGAGCAACAGCCAATGGATCCCGCTGCTATCAATCTGCCCAGTGAGGAGACACAGAGGTGGGAGAGCAGCAGCAAAAGCTGGATCGAGATCGGGCTTAGATAAGTAGGGGAAGGGGGGAGTTTGTGACACAGAACGTTTTATACCTTAATGCATAGAATGCATTAAGGTGAAAAACCTTGAGGCTTTAAAACCACTTTAACCCCCACTGCACCAGAAGATTATGGCAGTAGGTGAGGGGGAAATGAGAATCACTGCTGCCAGTTTTTAATTTTAGCTAAACTTAGGCCTGAAGTCTAGGCGTAAAGCAATGAGCTGTAAAATCTTCCCTATTTCTCACTCTGGCAAGCTTCCTTCATGATGTGCAACTGATCTCCTGAAGCCTCTTCTCTAAGGCACTACAGCCAGTTGTGGCATTCTGACATCACATGCAACACAAGACTATTAGTCTCAGCTTTAACCCCTTCCCGCTGCCACCTCCGGGCCCCTTAGGAGGCTCTAAATGCCGGGTATCGAAGGTGGGCCTTCCAATCATGTGACCGCTGTGATTACCAGCAACAGCAGTCACAAGATCGGAAAGCTCCCAATCGCACGTATGTATCAGGAGCTTTCCTGTGCCAGCCAATTACTGTGCCAGGACTGAGAGCACACTCTCAGCACAGTAACGAGCTTACATAGGGATGCGTATATGCGGCCGCTCGGCATTAACGCCCACCCGCCAAGAGGCCATTTATACGAGTACGGCAATGTGGCGGTGCGATTCCCAGTGTGAACCAGCCCTGACAGGTAATTTCAACTGCAGATGATCTTTAAGCTGTACCTGTATGCACCTGTTTCCAGCTTCTTCTGCATTTCTACTGACTTATAAAAGAAAAGCAGTTCTTCAATAAGAAACAATCAAAAAATTCTTACTTGCCACAGGTTGATTTCTAGGCAAATCTCTTGTAGGTGAAAGGAAAAGGGGTGAACACAGGCTTTGTTCTTTAAATATGATTGGTGTAGAGTCAAGCTGGCTGTAGATGGCCTGTTTGTGTTTGGGGGTTTTAAAAAGGCTGTCATCCAGTCCTTCAACTCCTTGCTCTTCATCTGCACATAGCCTGGACTGCCTGTGTACAGCTTCTGCAGTAAGCTCCTCAAACCAGTTCACACTAATAGGACCTAGATCTGTAAGAAAGATTGCAAACAGTATAAAAAAGAAATCTCAACAATATGGTGTTACCAAAGAAAAAAAAAAAATATATATATATTTACATATAGTTACACACACACACAAATTACTGTCCAAAGTAGTGGTGCACCAAAATGAAAATTCTGGTGCCAAATCGAAAAATTTTTAACTGAAAAGTTTTTAAAAATGACTATATATCTTTTTGAAAAAAAATACACTTTGATTAAAAAAAACAATATATACCCCAATGTTTTTGTAAAATATGAAAGAGGATGTTATGGAGAGTAAATAGATACCAAACATGTCACGCTTTAAAATTGCGCATACTCGTGGAATGGCATGAAACTGCGGTACTTACAAATATCCATTGTTGATGCTTTAAAAATTTCTACAGGTTAGCAATGTAATAATTCTAGCGTGAGAATTATTGCTCTTGCTCTGACGTTCGTGGCGATACCTCACGTGTATGGTTTGAACACCATTTGCATGTGGGCATGGCCTACGTATGTGCATTCACCACTGCATGTGAGCACGGGGGAGGACGGGGGCACTTTAAACTGCATAGGTGTGAACCTAGCCTTGGGGGGGTGCTTCCCAGGATCCATTCTGTTGAGAACAGGATTCTAGTATAAGGGGGAATGCTGCACACTCTGATTTAAAAAAAGGGGGGGGGGGGAATATGATGGAAACGGGGCTTATTTTGACTGCTGCACTCTACATGTTTTGTAGAGTGCACGTTAATAATACCAAGTACACATGTACCATACTTTTGGTATGTGTGTACTCTCTCTTCAACAGTGTATTCTGGCAGGGGGCTCAGCATGAGAGATCCCTGTATCACACATCGTTGTGTTAATCCAGGGATCTATCATGTTTTTGGACATTTTCACTTTGGGGTGTCCTCACATCTCTTGCCAGCGGTTTAGACATTAATGGCTGTGTGTTGAGTTATTTTGAGGGGACAGCAAATTTACACTGTTATACAAGCTGTACACTCACTAATTTACATTGTAGCAAAGTGTCATTTCTTCAGTGTCACATGAAAAGATAGAATAAAATATTTACAAAAATGAGAGGTGAACTCACTTCTGGGAGATACTGTATGTGTGTACAGCCAGCTTTACTGCTGAAATCTGCAACTGATATGTTATGTAGCTCTGACTAATGGGTTGTCACAACAGTTACAGGTTTTAATTAAAATGGTTGTAAACCACCCCTGATGTCTCATTAAGGAGAACCTGTCACCAAAAAAGCATCACAGGGGACTTTTTGTCCCCTGTGATGTAAAAACAAAGTTAAGCAAACAAAAAAAATGCATAACAGTGTAAAACATTGAAGTTACACCCAAACACTTAAATTCCCCTCCCACCCCTCACATACAAATGTAAACACTTACAGCGGGGCACCTACACATGGAAATGTTGATTCTGCTACACATATTACAGATCGTCAAGCATGCCAGAGTGAGAGCAATAATTCAAGACCTGTTATTTATGGTTAACTCTAAACTGATGACCTGTAGGGGCTTTTAAAATATCGCCTATGGAAAGTATAGGGTACCAAAGTTTGTGGCGGTTTCACAGGTGCATGCAATTTTAAAGTGATACTAAAGGTTCCCATTTTTTTTGTTAATAACAAACATGCCATACTTACCTTCTCTGCGTAATGGGTTTGTGCAGACCAGCTCCAAACCTCCTCTTCTTTGGTCCCCCGCCCGCGCTCCTGGCTCCTCCCCCATAGCAAGCTGCGTGCTCTGGGGGCACCCATGCATGCTCACTCCTGAGCCACCTGTGTGTGTGTCTACAAGATACACAAGGCACACTGTGTGTCTATAAGATACACAAAGCTCCAACTGCTGTGTCTCAGCCAATGCAGAGGGAGAGCCGCTGCTCTCGTTCACATTGCTGGATCGAGATCAGGCTCAGATAAGTATAAGAGTCCATTCACATTTGTGCGACTTGCCATGTGACTTTGGGGTCTAAAGTTGTATGACAAGTTGCACCCCACATTTCCCAATAAGTACCATTCAAATCTGTGCAACTTCAAGTCACAGCAACTTGAAAGTAGTTCCAGCGCTACTTTGGTACAACTTTAGTCCAGTGAATAGAAAGTCGCATCAAAGTCCACTTTGGAGACACGCTAATGTGAATGGAGCCTTGGGGGGGGGGGGGTGCACACAGGGTCTTTTGCCTAAGAAAAACCTTCAGCCTTCAGAGCCACTTTAAAGTTTGGGTATCAATTTACTCTGTACAAGATCATTTTTTTTATATTTTATCAAGAATTGGGTAACTGTTGTGTACCATAAAATTCACTTTAGTGTATTATTATTATTATTAAACAGGATTTATATAGCGCCAATAGTTTGCACAGCGCTTTACAATATATAGGGGGCAGTACAATTACAATACATTTCAGTACAGAAGGAATAGGAGGGCCCTGCTCATGGAGCTTACAATCTAAAGGAAGGAAGGAGAGGTGGTACAAAAGGTGATAGCTGTGGGGGATGATCTGATGGAGGTGACTCAAGTACAGTTCTTAACTACATGCTGCCCAGCCACTGTACATATACGGCGGCAGGGCGGCACTCACAGGCAAAACCACGTTTTAAGACGTGTGTTTTGTAAACAAATAGGGGGCGCGCACGAGGCGCGCCGCTGCCCTATCTGTCCTGCGGATCACCCCCGCAGATGTCAGTCGCCGGGTCACAGCCGCTCGTTAGCGGCTATGTTCCGGCGATCGGCGGCAAACAGTGACAGACAGCACAGCTGCAGTAGCTGTGCTGTCTGTCATTTCCCTGTCAGTTCGAGGATGAGCTGATCGAGAAAGAACAGTTTCTCTTTCTCGATCAGCCTTGTCCCGTCCAGTACACACCCCCGCCCCCTAGTAAAACACTCCCCTCACTCCTATAACCCTTCCCTGCAAAATAAAGTTAACCCCTTCCTCCCCATTAGTACAGTGTCAGTTTTTTTTTTTTTTTGCACTGATCACTGTATTAGTGTTTTTGGGGATGTCAGTGACCCCAAGTCAGTACCCCCCAATGCCAGAATGTCCGCCGCAGTCCCGCCATAAGTCGCTGGTCGCTGCCATAAGTCCCTGATCGCCGCCATAATTCGCTGATCGCCGCCATTATTAGTATAAAAAACCCTAAAAATCCCAGTATCTTTCCCGCCATTTGTAAACGCTGTAACTTTCACGTTAACCAATTAATTTACACATATTGGGTTTTTGTTTTAGCAAAGACATGTTGCAGAATGCATTTTGGCAGAAATTTATGACTAAATTTGATTTTTGCATTTTTTTTTACTGGACATGTTTTATAGCAAAAAGTCCAAAATATTGTTTTTTTTTTCCTCAAAATTGTCAGTCTTTTTTTTTTATAGTGCAAAAAATAAAAACCGCACAGGCGATCAAATACCACCAAAAGAAAGCTCAATTTGTGGGGAAAAAAAGGATGTAAATTTCATTTATGTACCGTATTGCATGACCGCGCAATTGTCCGTTAAACTAGCGCTGCGCTGTATAGCAGAAAAATGGCGTAAATTGCAGTATCTATACCATAGTTTGTAGACGCTATAACTTCCACACAAAGCAATCAATATACACTTACTGGGATTTTTTTTACCAAAAACATGGAGCAGAATACATTTTGGCCTAAATTTATAACCAACTTTGAGTTTACTATATATTTTTTATAGCTGAAAGTAAAAAATATTGTTTTTCTTCAAAATTTTTGGCCTTTTTTTTATGTTTATAGCATGAAAAATAAAATGCGCACAGATGATCAAATACCACCGAAAGAAAGCTCTATTTGTGTGAAAAAAAGGACGTAAATTTCGTTTGGGTGCAGCATTGCATGACCGCGCAATTATCAGTTGAATTAGTGCAGCGCCAAGCAGCAAAAAGAGGCCTGGTCATTAAGGGGGGTAAATCCTCTGGAGCTCAAGTGGTTAAGCTTTCCTATATAAGTGAGTTTGCAAAGATCACCTAAAGGCGGACAGGGTGGGGGCTGACTGTACATACTAGGGAAGGGAGTTCCAGAGGATAGGAGATGTGCTGGAGAAGTCCTGGAGGCGAGCATGTGATCAGGTGTATGATGTTTACTGAAAGTTTGTGTTTCCTAAACCATTGCACTAATATAGTGCAATAGCATTGGGCTTGATGTTCAAGTCAAACATACGTTCGACTTATCAGCAGTTCGTGTGTTTGGCAAACACATGAACGGTAAGGGCGTTGTACCCCACAGGTCAGGTGCAATTCTTTGGTCAATTACATGATGATGTCACAAGAGGGTGGGGGTGACCTTGCCCCCTTGTGACATCATCACAGTATTTAAGAATGTCATCCAGGTGCAGCTGTTGGACAGCGGGAACCAGCATCGAGTTTCTTTTTTTCGGGACGGTGGGCATTGTGATTGATGTTGGCTCTACTTAGGGGGGCATTTTTTTTAATTTTTGTTTTTAATAAAGGACTTGTCAAAAGGCGGTTTACTGTCAATTTTACACTACACTTTTTTTGTGAATAAGCAGTACCTGGGGGGCGAGATCTAGGGGGATCCACAGTTGTGGAGAAGAGGCCCTTGTCCCCATCAACATGGGGCAAGATGCTTTGGGGGGGCCCTGCCCCACAGCACCCCCTCCATACTGAAGGCATGTGGCCTGAAATGGTACAGAAGCTCGCTCATCCCCCTCCTGACCGGCATGTTCAGATAAGGATCTGGTATGGATTTTGGGAGGACCCCCACACCATTTTTTCAAAATCTCTACCAGACCAGAAGGGCTTAGTATTCATGGGGCGGGGGGTTAAACCCCAGACAGGTTTATTTTTTATTGCTGGGCAATGCTGGCTATTCTTTGACATTCAGCTGTCAGAGAGGAACCCTGCTGTCAGGAATGGACTGGCCAGCAATGGTG